TGATGGAAAGAAACGTGGAAAAACATTCGTTTATGTCAAATATTTGTTAAATGAAAATCAATGATCGTGAAATTAACAATATATTTACAATGATTAATACTCCATATTGTATGATAATTTTAATACGGTAAAATAACTGAGAAACATGAAGCATTGTTACAAAATAAGGCATAGAAATTGTAACGGATATAAATAATTTTTCATTTCCTTTTTTTTTTTTTTTAAAAAAAAAATTAATTTTACACTCTATGACGATATCATTGCATCGCTATGTTCAATCATTGCAATGTTCAATCGATGCATAGTATCATACTATCATGATGTTCGATCATATCGTAGTATCATACTTTTGGAATATTCCATCATTGCATAATATCATATCATACTATCGCAATGTTCAATCGATGGATAGTATCATACTATCATGATGTGCGATCGATGCGAGCTATTCTATATTATATGGGATATTTTTCTACAAGAATATTTCAGCCAATTAACCCTTCAATTTTGCATCAGAAAATATAGATTTTTAGCAATATAAATAGAAGATTATGAATTATATCGGCACTTCATTATTTAGCAATATTTGGAAAAAGGAAATGTCATAATTTTTGCTTTAATGTATCATCAAATATTTGAATTCAAATATAAATGTAAAAATCTAAAATACATACCGTCAAAAAAAGTTTCGTGATTTTTTTAAAAAAAAGTTTATCTAATTTTCTTTTTGCTAAAACATATCAGATATTTAAATTTAAACAATAAATATTAAAATGGAATATCTGAGAGATATTTTTTGAAGAAAAATTATGTAAAATGAAGAATAATTCAAAAATTGTGTTTTACTTTTCCTACCTTTTTGCATATTTCCAAATTTGAACCTTGTAGAGGGCTTCATAATAATTCAACATGTGTGCATAATATTGATGGCAAAAACAAAAATTAATGCAAAAACTTTTCATCGTTTTTTTTTTCCGCCAATTTTTTTTTTCATTTTGTAAATTAAATTGGCCGAAAATTTTTTTAAGCAAACATTACAAAATGATATAATTTTAAAATGCAGTGAAGTTAATTTTTTTTTTAAACAATTCTTTTAACATGTAGCAAAAATTATTGAGAATTGCAAAATTTCTCGAACTTTTTTATACAAAAAAAAAAAAAATGAAAAATGAATGTTAAAAATGGGTGTCGAAAATGAATTGCAAATGAAAACGAAAGAAGTTTTAGTGCAATTGAAATGAGGAAAAAAAAAAGAGTGAATTTGTTTAATACATTCTGTACTGAATTATGATTTTGAGCAATGTTAACGTTTGTTGCGCAATTATTGCAAGAATAAATGTCATAATCTTGCACTTATTTTCCATTTCTAGCTATTTGAAAATTGAAATTGGGCAATTCAAAAAGCAAATATGATAGTTGGAAAAAAAATTTTCGTTCATTCTTACTTTATTTCATTTTTTTTTCAAATTGAAATTTGAAATTTTATGAAATGAAAAGCAGTATCTAAAATGCTTTTTGTACTTTATGAAATTAAAATTTTGAAAGCAAAAAGTTACAGAATGAAGAAAAATGATGAATGATAACATAAGGGTTTCATATATCTCTCAAATCTTCCCTCATTTTTTTTACTTCGTCTTTATTTTTCCCTATTCATTTTAGATATAGAAAAGATAGGAAGAAGATAAGGAAAAAAAAAGAAGGAAAAAAGAGAACGGAAGAAAAAGAGAGAGAGGGAGAGAAGGCGAGTATACAAAAAAGAAATGAATTGAATTAAAATATGGGTTAAAAAGGAAAATACTTGTTGTGCAGAGAATTATAGCGAGAATGAATGTTACAATCTCTTTCGAGAATGAAATAAAAATAAACATAGCTTTGAGCAAAAATGTAAAATTAGAAATTTTTTTTTTTTCTGTTGACAGATGACATTATTCGTTTGCATTTACTTTCCTATTCGTCCAAAAGAATAGTGCAAAAAAAATTTTCAGAAGAATAGCGCGAAAAAAATTTTGAGAATTACTTCAGTACTTAATGTATCATATTTGTGTACTCATTTTATCAGCATAAAATAATATATTACTTTTCTACTATTATTATTTATCTTATCAATCCATTATTATATTAGCGTATTTTAATATATTATATGACATATTATGTTTTATATGATGGTATGAATCTTTTTTATTTTTGCACGATATATCATTTTGACTGTAATTAAAATTAAAAAATAAACAAACTATAATTATGTGAATGCTTAATTTAAAAAAAAATAAAATTTACTAAATTTTTATATTTAACAATCCTATTTGTTCTGTTTTTTCGTTTCATTTTTCGGAATTTTTGATTGAACAAGCGATTAGAAAATGCATTGAATACTTTTGTTATTTCTCTTATCATTTATCAAATCAAATTTGGTGATAGATGGAATTGAGATTACTCACTGAATTATCACGATGAAACATTTGCATATGCGTGCTGATATACGAATTTCGATAAATAGATCGTCATTTTTAAATGTGATGAATTTGAAAAGAGGGAAAGAATATTAAGGAAATGAAAATAATGGTTGTAAAGTTAAAAAATATATCAAAAATAGCTCTCAGATAACATTTTGAAATTTTTTAGTTTTGCTCTTTTATTTTTACTTTTAAGTAATTGAGGAAAAGAAAAATTACTGATGGCGAATGTTCATAAGTTATGTTAAAATCGATAACAAAAATGGAATATTTCAAAGGTTTATTGGCCATTTTTAAATATTTATATTAGTCGATAGTTTTTAAGAAGTAAGAATTTTTTTTTAATCTCAAATGATAAATTCAACTTTTAAATTTTGAAAAAGACTTGTCAAAGCATTCAGTTCATTTTTCTTTCCTTTTTTATTTTTTTTTTTTGGTTTTTTGCTCCTCCTCCTCCTATCCAACAGTATCCAATTCAAATTTCACATTTGCAACATCATGAGTTTTGACTCTTTTATGGATTAATTTCAATCAGCGAACAATTTAATATTATGGTTTATTATGGTATGCTACTATTTTTTATTTCAAAATTGGTTTTGATAATTTTTAAAATATGGTGACTCTTTTTTCCTCAGTCCAAAATACAATTAAAACTTTTAATCTTGTTCGAAAATTTTTGAAATTGGTGTTTTGCATTCAGCTTTCTAATTATATATGTATTCAGATTAACTTTTGTTTGTCAATTTATTATTATCAGTATTTATTACTACTGCTATTATTGTTATTATTCATCAATTAATTAATTAATTAATTCTTATATTAAGTTAAACAAAGCCCTCAAATTGAACTGAAAATAGAATTTGTTGAAAACAGAATTTGTAAAATTTGGTCATTTTGTTTCTTAATGCCGTTGCATTTTGAACAGATTAAATATAAATTTAAATCAAGCTAAGGTCAAAAAAAAAAACAAAAACCTTGATATTTTTTGTTATCCATCAGTGTATAATCAATTAATCAATCATTTATATCCAAATATATATATCGTTGTGTTAATATGATGTCAAATCAACTTTACTATTTTTGATAGTGAAATTATGTTAATCTAACACTAAACAGTTGTTGCAAACTAAATCAAAAAATTAAAAAAAAGAAGGATGGAAACAAAATTACAACTTGAAGTAGCAGCATTGACAGATGCTAAATTGTGCATGACGAATTATTGGAAAATTTGTCGTTTTTTCGACTATATTTTGCATCAAAAAATTGAGTTATTCCAGTATTTCGTTTTCCTTTTTCTTTTTTTTCGTTTTATCATTTTTCTATTTTCATTAATTAGCAAGAATAAATTGCTTATTCCATTTAACTTATTGCACTGTTTATTGCATTTAATCCAAAATGATTAAATATGTTAAATTAAATATAAAGAAATATTTATTATTTTTTATTGGCATTATTTATCAATTTTTTCATACACTTCCCTTTCTTTTTTTGTTTCATATTATTAGATTCAATTCCAATCTTTTGATTCTTTTAGATCGTTAAGTATCAAAACTTTTTGTGCAATTAATTAATTTCTATACAGAGCCTTTTTTTGGAATTGTTTAATTCTTTTCTTTTTTTCTCTGCAAAATTTCTTTCACCAGATTATCATTGATTTATTTATTTACTTAATTATAGAAAACGCATTGAATGATAGTAACAAAAGTCCCCGTTAGTCAAAAATCAAAAGACTTTGGTAGAAATACAAAAAAAAAAAAAAAAGATCAAAAAAAAGAGAGACAAAATTGAGGAAATTGTCAGAAAGAGTTAATAAAAAATTCATCTTACTGTTTTGATCCATTCATCTATTCATTCATCAATAATGAAATTAGTGCAAAAATATTGTTAGCTTTGTTTTTTTTCTGTTCTTTTTCTTTTCCTTTTCTTTTTTAAAATTTATTTTTTCCCTCTCTCTTTCTCATGCAAAATTGCTGTTAATAATCTCTAAATTGATGAAATAAAATGTAATGGACGAATGCTATTAATTTTAATATATTTGAAATTCTGAAATCCTAACTGCCCGTTTATTTGTTTTTTTTCAGATGAATTATCGAATTTTTCTTAAATTTCTACTCATAAAATTTTTCGAACTTTTATCGTTTCTAGCAAAAAAATATCAAATATATTTTGCATTTACTCATTTATTTATTATATTAATGATAAATAGCAACCATAAAAATTGACAATTTTTGTTTTCTCATTTTGTTCCGAACATAAATTTTTTAAAAAAATGCACGTCCCTTCGAAATTTATCGGTCTAACTTAAAAAATTTATATTTACAAAAAAAAAATTTTTTTACTCTCGTAGATGTAAAAACTGAAACCTTTTTATAAATAAAAACAATTTGGAGTATAAAACATATATGGGTAAGTAAAAGTTATTTATTAATACAAGTAAAGGAGACCAGCAAAAAAATAATTCCATTTATTTGACAGCTTTCTCGGCTAGTTCCTTTTTTTAATGGTCCCTTTTCTTTCTAAGGCAAAGAAATTTTTATTTAATTTCAGATAAGTGCTGTAAATGTGGTGGAAGTATAAGTAATGATCGTCCTGGTTGTACAGCAATTGGTGAAATGTTTCATATAACATGCTTCACATGTAAGGAATGTAATAAACAACTTGCTGGTGGATCATTTTATAATGTTGATGGGCAACCACTTTGTGAGGATGATTATGTGGTAAGTGGAAAAAAAAAGCGAATAAAAATTTAATTTTAAATTCAACAATTCACCAATTTTTATGTTTTAATCATTTGAAATGTTAGGTTACTCTTCCTATTTATATGCAAAATTTCATGATGTTTTTTGTTTTAAATATTAAAAATAATTCAAAACTTTCAAACATTATTACATTTATTGGATTTACTCATTAAATAAATTGAATTTTTTTTATCAAAAGGAAAAATCTTTTTTTTTGTTATCACATTCATTGAATCATTTTTTTAATTGTTCGCATAATTCTAATTAAAGTCATTTTCAAAGTCTAATTGAAGTCTTATAACGGCACTTGCTTTTCCCCTTCCTTCTATTCTCATTTTTTCTTTTTATGAAAATATTTATTTAATAGAAGAAATTGTTTCGAATTTCTTTAAAGTAGGTGTGACATTGTATTGTTAGAGTAGTACTTATAATGAATTTTCACAAAAATTCCATTTCATTATTATTCTTTTGAATAGAGTGTAATTAATGAATACAATTATTTAATTCATACGACGTTGACATTAGTCTATGCTATACGCTAATAATAATGTCGCAAGATAATTCAGAAAATAAAACGAAAATTTTAAAAGTTGAAATGAATAATTGCTAGCAGAAAAAATTTCCTTGACATGAATACGAATTTGTTTGAAAATAATTTTTTATTTGTGATTATTTATGCCTTTTAAAACCTGAAATTTACTGATGATTTTTGAAATTCATTGAAAATAAAAATGGTAGAGAAAAAAATGGAAGAAAAAAGGAAGCTAAAATAAATAATTACTAGCGGGGAATATTTTGCAACTAATTATTGAATGGTTCAAATATTTTTTTTTGCTAATAGTTTTGTTTATTTATAATTAATTTACCATTTCTAATTTGTTTTTCCAACGATTTAGCACTTTTTTTTTCCTGGAACTGGTAACATTTTAAGCTTATAAGCTTATTTCCAGAAGTCATTAGAAAAATGTGGCAATTGCGGTAAACCGATTACGGAGAAGCTATTACGTGCAACCGGTAGTGCTTATCATCCAGATTGTTTCGTATGTACCGTTTGCAAAAAATGCTTGGATGGAGTTCCGTTTACCGTTGACTCAACCAATAAAGTACACTGTGTCGTGTGTTTCCATGAGTATGTCATCCTTATTATTTGTTTACATGTCTTTGTTTTTTTTTTCTTTTTTTCAAATGATTCAAAATCTGTTTAAAAATCAAAAAGGAAAGAAATAACGGAAATCCTATCTTGATTTAATTACCTTAATCAAAAGATTGTTTTTTACTTTTTCGATCCTTCCGCTATTTTTTTTTTTACTTTCTTTCATTTTTCCAAGCGTTTATTTTTTTTGATAGCAATAAAATTTAAAAATATTTAATCAAAAGTTTTATTCAAGAAAGTGTTTGCAAAAAACAAGAAAAAATGGTCCGTTTGCAATCAAATCCTTACCCAAAACAATCGCAACTTTTAATTACTTTTTCCTGTATAGAAATTTGCTATTGAAAGGATGGGACTGCCAAAGAAAGTAATTTCTACAGCAATATTTACATGATAAACATGTAAACTCATTTCGTAAACTCAACTATAAACTCATTTCGAGCATGATAAACATGCTCGAAATGAGTTTATAGTTATCTAAGTGTGCGAATAAGCAAGCAAATAATTAATTGGATATGCTTGAATTGAAATGTTTTTGTAAACAAATAAACAAGCATATAATTGCAAATGCTCGAAGTGGAATGTTTATGTAAGCGGATAAACCAACAATTAATTGGATATTCTCGGATAGGACAATTTAAATGAACAAATAAACAATTAGTTGAGCAATTGCTCGTGCTCAAGTGAGATGATTTAAACAAATAGATAAGCAGTTCTTATGTATAATCAAACTGGGTAATTTGTATGCAAGCAATTAATTGCATGTGTTTTGTTTGTTTTATGTAAACAAATAAACAAGCAATTAATTGCAAGAAGTTCGGTGATAATAAAAGAATTACAAAATATACAGTTGAAGTATGTTTGTTTTTTTAAGCGTTCATTAATTTCAATGCTTTACTTAGTGTTCATTAACTGTTTGGCGACAAATAATAATAAAAGAAGAAAACAAATATTTTTGTGTAATATCTTATTTTTATTTCCCACTTTTCCTTTATTGTTTTTCCGAAGTGAAATTTAAGGAAAATGGAAGAATGCTTGAAAAAATGACTGAAAGATGAAATGATTTTTTACCTTCCATTTTATCTTCTTTTTCTTTTTTTTTTTGCAAAATAATAGCAACACACCATTTTATCTTCTTTTTTTTTTTTTTTTTTGCAAAATAATGGCAACACAACAGATTGAACAGCCGTCTTTGATAAACTTAAACCTTTTTTCTAACTTTATATTTTTTTCTACTTGAATTCTTTCCTAAAAAAAATAAGTCGCCCTACGCATGCATAATATGAAGAAAACCTTGACAGATTTGTGTGAAAATCATTTTTTGTTTATTTTTATTTTCTACCGCAAAAGAAATTTTAGAAATTTGGGCGATTTTACTTAGTTTTAACTCAGTTTCACTTTTTCAAAAGTTCTATTTATTCCTTAATCATTCCACTTTTTTAGAAAATTTGCTCCACGATGTGCAGTATGCTTGAAACCAATCGTACCCGAAGAAGGTCAAGAAGAATCAGTACGAGTTGTTGCGATGGATAAAAGTTTTCATGTAAATTGCTATCGATGCGAAGATTGCAACATACAATTAAGTTCCAAAATTGAAGGACAAGGGTAAGATGATTGGAAAAAAACTTTCAAAAAAAGAAAAGTAACAATAATAAACTACGAGAATGTGCATGCAATCATAAATAGTTTTATATAATTGTTTCTTGGCAATTTTTGCAATCAATTTGCATGCAAAACATGCAAACACACATTAGCGGAAATAATTTTTCGTATTTAGTAGAAAATTGGATGGAAAAAGCAAGGAACAATAAATGCTGCGTATTTTCATGCATTATTCCACTAAAACAACACATACTAAGCGGGAAATATTTTAATTCCAAAATTCATTAATTT